ATATGCAAATACACAACGGACAGGCTTACCACAGTCGGATCGATCCGCGTACTTCGGAGGCACCAGAAGATCTCGCATACTATCTAATAGTGTAGTTAGCCCGCGTCAGACTCTGCGCGAGCTGGCAAGAGACCACGAGTAACAGCTAAACCCAGCCCATCAATTAGTGGTACGGCGCATACGTTTACTCACGCGTGCGCGTCACAGTGCGCCGAGGGTTTGCACTTCAGTGCTTTTCATTACCCTCGGCGCGCATGCGCAGCGAGGGTACTGTAGTTGGGTGTGTGTGTGTGTGTGTGTGTCTGTTACTCTCAATCTCACTTCTCGAATGTCTGTTCGTCCCAGAAACGCTACCATCTACCCAACGGGCGACGAAGGTCAGAAAATATGTGGGGTTTTCTCTGAAAATGCTCCGTTGCAGAGCTAGAGCGCTTCCACCATTGTGCGGCTAATGCATAGTCGGCCATTTTTATCGCTGCGGAAAATGCGCATGCGCTTATAACTTCGACCGGGTCGTCCGCTTGCTCTGTGTATCTTAAAGGCACAAGAAATCACAACGAAGGGCGTGTATCGACTCTCGCATACTATCTACTACTGTAGCTAGCCCGTGTCAGACTCTCTGCGAGCTACTAGCGGGAAATCACGAGTAAACGCAAACTAATAGTAGCCCAGCCCATCAATTAGCGGTACCGCGCATCCCCAGTTCGCCGAGGGTTTGCACTTTAGTGCTTTTCATTACCCTCGGCGCGCATGCGCAGCGAGGGTACTGTAGTTGGGTGTGTGTGTGTGTGTGTGTGTGTGTGTGTGTGTGTGTCTGTTACTCTACATCTCACCTCTCGAATGTCTGTTCGTCCCAGAAACGATACCATATACCCAACGGGCGACGAAGGTCAGAAAATATGTGGGGTTTTCTCTGAAAATGCTCCGTTGCAGAGCTAGAGCGCGAAAAAGCCAATTGCAAATAGGCAACGGGCCGGGACGGCTTACCACAGTCGGATCGATCCGCGTGCTCTGCGTACCTCGGAGGCACAAGAAGATGCAACGCAGGGCGTGTATCGCCTCTCGCATGCTATCTAGTAGTGTAGTTAGCCCGCGTCAGACTCTGCGCGAGCTGGCAAGAGACCACGAGTAACAGCTAAAACTAAACCCAGCCCATCAATTAGTGGTACTGCGCATGCGTTGACTTACGCGTGCGCGTCACAGTGCGCCGAGGGTTTGCACTTCAGTGCTTTTCATTACCCTCGGCGCGCATGCGCAGCGAGGGTACTGTAGTTGGGTATGTCTGTGTGTGTGTGTGTCTGTTACTCTCAATCTCACTTCACGAGTGTCTGTTCGTCTCACAAAGGATACGACCTACTTAACGGGCAATGAAGGTCAGAAATATGTGGGATTTTCTCTGAAACTGCTCCGTTGCAGAGCTAGAGCGTGAAAAAGCCAATATGCAAATACACAACGGACGATGCGGCTAACTACGGCATAATCGCTCCGCGTGCTCTGCGTACCTCGGAGGCACCAGAAGATGCAAAGCAGGGCGTGTATCGCCTCTTGCATCCCATCTAGTAGTGTAGTTAGCCAGCGTCAGACTCTGCGCTAGCTGGCAAGAGACCATGAGTAACAGCTAAACTAAACCCAGCCCATCAATTAGTGGTACTGCGCATGCGTTTACTTACGCGTGTGCGTCACAATACGCCGAGGGTTTGCACTTCAGTGCTTTTCATTGGGTCTGTCTGTCTGTCTGTGTGTGTGTCTGTCTGTTACTCGTCATCTCACTTCTCGAGTGTTCGTTCGTCTCACAAAGGATACCACCTACTGAACGGGCAATGAAGGTCAGAAAATATGTGTGGTTTTCGCTGAAAACGCTCCGTTGCAAAGCTAGAGCGCGAAAAAGCCAATATGCAAATACACAACGGCTTACTACGGCATGATCGACCCGCGTGCTCTGCGTACCTCGCAGGCACCAGAAGATACAACGCAGGGCGTGTATCGCCTCTCGCATGCTATCTAGTAGTGTAGTTAGCCCGCGTCAGACTCTGCGCGAGCTGGCAAGAGACCACGGGTAACAGCTAAAACTAAACCCAGCCCAGCAATTAGTAGTACGGCGCATGCGTTTACTTACGCGTGCGCGTCACAGTACGCCGAGGGTTTGCACTTCAGTGCTTTTCATTACCCTCGGCGCGCATGCGCAGCGAGGGTACTGTAGTTGGGTTTGTCTGTCTGTCTGTTACTCTCAATCTCACTTCTCGAATGTCTGTTCGTCTCACAAACGATACGACCTACCTAACGGGCAATGAAGGTCAGAAATTTCGAACGGTTTTCTCTGAAAATGCTTCGTTGCAAAGCTAGAGCGCTTCCGCCATTGTACGGCTAATGTTAGTCGGCCATTTTTATCGCTGCGGAAAATGGGCATGCGCTTATATTTTGAACAGGCTCGGGTCCGCTTGCTCTGTGTATCTTGAAGGCACAAGAAGTCACAACGAAGGGCGTGTATCGACTCCCACAGTAGCTAGCCCGTGTCAGACGCTACTAGCGGGAGACCACGAGTATACTACATACTAATAGCAGCCCATACCATCAATTAGCGGTACCGCGCATGCCCAGTTCGCCGAGGGTTTGCACTTTAGTGCTTTTCATTTGGTCCTGTAGTCCTTATACACAACTATTAATGCGAAGTACTACTATTATATAGCTCACAGCAATCTGAAGACGCCCTCCTACCCATGTGACTCCATACACTACTGTCATCACTGTCTGCTTTACCACCTTCAGCATGTAGAGGAAGATAGAAACACCAGTCTGTAATGTCCAACTCTTTCTACATACACTCACTACCCACCTTTCGACTAATCTTCCCCTCCAGGTTGATGGCAATTTCATGTCCTTCTGCTGCATCTCTGGCTCTTTGCTCCTCCACCTAACACACAGACAATCATTGCAGTTGGAGATTTGACACCCCAGGCTCAAAAGGCCTGAAGAGGTGGTTGTGTCTGTACCATTGCAGCAACTCCGGCATAAGGGTCTTGAGGCCTGTCCCCAGGCACCAGGTTGACCTGTTTGGCCCCCAGCCAGTCCCTGCCCAGAGCTGCGTAGTGCTGTAGGGAGCACAGAGAGATAGAGGTGGAACTAGAACTAAAGCAACAAGTTTGGCGAGGGAGAACACGAGAGTCACATACGTGCCGCGTTTACAATGGGGTGAAATTTCAGAATAGTCCATTATGTGCGACAGATGTATAATGAAAAACAGCACATTCAAACGACTACATAAATAGACTAGCTTTGTTTGCAAATAATTTTTTTGTTCATGAATACAAAAGTGAAGCAAAAACGATAATAATTCCACTATTATACCCCAACAGTGAGGGAAAACCTTTAATTATAGGAGAAAATTTTCTTACGTTCACAAAAGTTTGCTAATAAACCTAGTAGCTATCTTCATTCAACATTCAAGAGTCAGAATCTGGAATGATTTCTACACAAAACGGGCGTGGGTCCAGTAGCTGTCGTGCACTGCCACAAACGATATCCCGGCCCTACATACGTACAGCGTAGCATTAGTGCAATGTTTAAATGATTGGGGTGATATTTCTATTTATGTTTGTCAAATTTCGTTGTCACACAGGATTGCACCGGCTAGCTCAACCCCCTTCACTGCATGCACTTGGCCACTTTATTCTCATTCGTAACTTCACTTTGGTAATATTTCTGTATTGTATCGCATTTAGTTGCTATTGTCTGTGCCATTGCCATCATGCATCAACCTTATTTTAAACAAATTTCTGTTCTATCCCCATCATTGGGGGCAAACATCTTTGACTGCAACAACTGCGACTGTGGCATGTGGACTCAGCTAGATTCTGCGCTCCTTGACCGCTGCAGGCTTGTTTATTAATCCTCGCCTGCGCACATGCGCAGCGAGGGTTATTAACTCTCGGCGCGCATGCGCAGCGAGGGTTACAGTAGTTGGGTTTGTCTGTCTGTCTTCATCTCACTTCTCGAATGTTCTTTCGTCTCACAAAGGATACCACCTACTGAACGGGCAATGAAGGTCAGATATTTCGAACGGTTTTCTCTGAAAACGCTCCGTTGCAAAGCTAGAGCGCGAAAAAGCCAATATGCAAATACACAACGGGCATGGTCGACCCGCGTGCTCTGCGTACCTCGGAGGCACCAGAAGATGCAACGCAGGGCCGTTGTTCTCGGTAACTGCGACAACTCTGAGCGTGAAACGTGGACAATAAGAGGCATGCAAGGTAAACTAAGATTCTGGAGCGGAGAAGGCTGGTGAAACGGGCGGCTGTCGAGGTGAGTGTACGTGGCGAGGGTTATGCAGTTTCAAGTGCTTTTCATTCTACCTGAACAATTCAGTACATGAGTACAGTAGCTACAGGGAGGGCCATACCTGTCTCACGCGTGTCTCCAAATTAGTTTTTAGGGGGAGGAACTCATTTCTTTGCCCTGTGGCCCAGTGCGCATACCTTCAGTTCACAGGTACTAGCAAGTATAAGTCATCAGTGTGTGGTGGACAAGATTACTTAATGGAAAATTCATACAAACTCTCAGAGGAATTAGCTCCTATATTTTGTTGTTATAGACTTTACCATTATTGAGTGAGTTGACTCAGGGTCTTATGTACACTTCATGCTGCTTACTATTACAGAAGCATAACCATCACACACTTAATTTTCGAAGAAATGAAGATGTCACTAAAACATGCAGTACTTGTAGTAGCTGTAGCCTTGCTGTTAGTTTTGAAATGCCAGTCACTGCCTCAATTTGAACATGAGGGACTTTATCTGTCCAACAATTCCTACATCTACTCTCCTGATATTGGTGATGGAGACCGTGCTCTAAAGTGTGTGACTGACAGTGTAACTGCTGCAATAACTCTACTGTTGGTGGCTGGAGAGATGAGAGTGGGAGACCAGTCTACCAGGGAGCAGATGGGACCACTTGTCTGTATGTCACTAGAGGAGATGGAGTGATCAGTCTACACCGCAAGAGAGGTTGTAGTGACCACACATCAGGACTGTGGAGATGTGATATACCTGATTCCAGTGGAGAGATGCAGAGCCTCTATGCCTACATTGGATATAAAAAGGATACTAACCCACCTGGTAAGGACACACAATAGTAGAACATAATGATCAGTTTTACTCTCTCTGCTCACTGCCATGGAATACAGGACAACTAAACAGCTCAGTATCTATGAACTTCACTCTACACACTGAGCTCAGAGCAAGCGTTCCTGAATTCACTATCTCCTGCCGTACTCATGGAGGACCTGCCACAACTGTCCAGTGGACAGTAAATGGAGTCCCAGTACAGGAAGACAGATATCATGAGACCAGTCAGCTCATACTGGACACATCTCTCAACTCTGTCTATGACAACAGATTGAGAGTGAGAGGAAGAAGAAATGGGACCTACTACTGTACCATCAGCAACAATATTAGAGACTATATACCTGAGGCATCCATTACTGAAGTCAGTGGCTCAAAGAGAATTGCAGGTATAATTATCATTAATTACCTGGCACATACATCTTTGAAGTTAATGATCATTAGAGGTACACTATTTAATCCAAGTATGAAGCTTTGTTCACAGTTTTTTCTTCCCTCTATATGGTGAACACTTGTTCACACAGTTGCAGAACAGCCCACCAGTCTTACTGCAGTCACCTCTCGGTTTAACAGTAAAGATGTCAGTATCACTGTGTCTTGGGAGTCACAAGACTATGCCATCTACTACCAGCCTAAGGGAGGACCAGTCATCAGTCACAGGGTGTTTGCATTTGGAGCACTTACTTGATGGTCTTCAGAGAGGAGTCACCTACTACATCTCCATAGTGGCTCTGTCACCTCACCTACCCAGTCCTCTGGTTGGACCTATCACTGTCATTCCAGGTGAGTCACTTACCTTTCAGCCATCATGTCCTTATGTCACTCTCTCATTAGATCCACTACTGGTAGTAGAGACCTCACCTGAATCACTCACTACCTCACCAAACAGTCAGTTCTCAGTCAACTGTACTGCCAGAGCTGAGGTTGACGGACAGAGTATTCCTGTGGACATAGAATGGACCAGGATAGACGTCTTTTCTCCATCTGGTTCATCTCAACTGTTGCCCACTCTTTACACCACAACTGGATCTCCAGAGAGAGGCTATCGTAGTGTTTTGACCACCTCTGGGGATGACACAGTCAACACTATCATCTACCGCTGCACTGCTACAGTATCCAGTCACTCTAACTTCAGTGAAACTACTGTATATCTCGTAAAAGGTACAAATAATTAGCTTATATTACATGCTCACATTACCCACATAACCACACTATTGTTGCAGCAATCGCTTCCAGTCCTGCCACTATTTCTGTTACTAACCCAGCTACAAGTGTTACAACTACTAGTCTCATTTGCTCCTTCACCACCAGCAGAGGTGAAACACTGATACCTTGACTTAATGTTCGACACTGTGTTACCATTATTACAGAGCCTACATCTACTGTGGTTGCCCAAGAGACAACTACATCCATTATTGAGGCTAGCAAAACGTATACTTCTCAAGTACCTCTTACCACAACTGCTACTGTTACTGTCACTACAACGGTAGTTACTGGTACCACTATCACTACTGCCCCAACAATCACCCAGACCAGTGATATGGTCATTGCCTCTCCAGTCAGTGAAACGTGCTCATTTGTGAAAGGTGAGCCGATCAAACAAAGTCAATGGCCATCAGTCTTTTCTTCTCATATATGGAACAATGTACTAAAACAATAACTCTCACCACCACGGTCACTTTTACTCCTGTCAGCGAAACGTGTAAAGGTGAGTTGATCCAAACTATAATGGCTATCAGAGTTTATGTACTTCCAGATGGCTACAAGGAGCCATGTAGTACTGAGAGCACTGCAGTAATAGCTGGAGGAGTGGGTGGAGGAATAATACTCTGTCAGATCCTTGTCTGTCTCCCCATTGCCATATATTGCATCTGCAACAGGTATTAGTGTTTTCACAGAGTGTAACATGGTTTGTTGTGTTAGGTTGGACTTTGTATACAGAACTAGCCAGTTAGGCAATGATATCCCCCCTGCATTTGCCATCTTGACAGATCAGCATACAGTAAGAAGGTGGAGACCCACAGTAACACAGCCTATGGAATGGTACCAACAAGAAGGGAGGAACCTGTGTATGATGTCATTAATCAGCCCCTGAATCAAAGTGCTGCTAAACTACCTCTGTCTCCAAATGTTGCCACTGCATCCACTGCAATGTAACATTATATAGCCGTTTTTAACAATGTTAGTTTTTATCTTAGCAGCAACATTGACAAGTGTAGTATAGGGCCACTGGCCATATTATTATGTACTGCTGTGTAGAATATTACAATTCTCAAGATAAGTTTTCAATTACCAGAAACATTTATCGTCATCTAGCTCAGACAACACGATCGACCTCTACAATAATAATCACATAATCACAGTATCACAGTGACCATAATAAGTCAGCGAAAGCTGTCAAAAAACTATTTAAAAAACAAATCTCCAGCCAAGAGGAAGAATAGAGATCTCTGTTATTCCATTTCCCTGGAGATTTGTTTACGTGCGTGCAGCAGCCTCCAAGTAGTGTGACCAAAGAACTGGGATTCCCACACAACACAAAGCTGCTGTCTGTGGTTGTAACAGAGACTGTCGTCTTCTCCTTGTTTCCTTGTGAGCATTGAGGACAGTGGGTGGGTGGAGTCTAGTATATCAGAGGAGAGGTTTGAGGCGCACAACATTCTCTTTCTTGTATCAGTTGACTGATAAGCAGTGTGCTATAATACACAGGTGTGTATGGATAATGGGTTCCTATCAGTGAAAAGTTGTTGTTTGGTGCACAGTCGTTTTTCCAATGTTGATTTTGAATCTTACGTAAAGTTAGTTATGCTGACGCTAGAGCCTCATCAGCACACATACTTTTTGAAAAGATAAGATGTCACTATATACTTGTCACAGCCACAGCTTTACTGCTAGTTCTGAGCAGCCAGGCACTGCCTCTATTTCAACATAATGGATATATTCATCTAGAAAATATTTAGCTACCATTGTCTTTTCTTTAACCAGGACTACAATGGCTGTTGTGTTGTTTAGACTCTTACTGAGTTTAGTTACTTTAGGGAACTGCCAGTCACTGCCTCAGTTTGAACATGTGGGGTACTTTCTTTCCAACAATTCCTACATCTACTCTATTGATATTGGTGATGTGGATCGTGCTCTAAACTGTGTGACTGACAGTGTAAACTGCTGCAATAACTCTACTGTTAGTGGCTGGAGAGATGAGAGTGGGAGACCAGTCTACCAGGGAGCAGATGAGGCCACTTGTCTGTATGTCACGAGAGGAGATGGAGTGATCAGTCTAAACCGCAAGAGAGGTTGTTGTACGACAACATCAGGACTGTGGAGATGTGATAATCGATTCCAGTGGAGAGAGGCAGAGCCTTTATGCCACATTGCGTCAGTATGGAAGGTATTCTAACCCCCTGGTAAGGACATGCATAGAAGAACATATACGCAGTTTTTACTATCTCTGCTCACTGCAGGACAACTAAACAGTTGCAGTATCTATGAACTCACTCTACACACTGAGCTCAGAGCAAGTGTTCCTGAATTCACTATCTCTGCCGTACTCAATGGAGGACCTGCCACAACTGTCAGTGGACAGTTAATGGTGTCCCAGTACAGGAAGACAGATATCATGGGACCAGTCAGCTCTTACTGGACACATCTCTCAACTCTGTCTATGACAACAGATTGATGTGAGAGGAAGAAGAAATGGGACCTACTAACGTGCACCATCAGCAACGATATTAGAGACTCTTATACCTGAGGCATCCATTACTGAAGTCATGGCACAAGATGAATTACGAGGGTCTACATACTTTCATTGTATGAAGCATCATTATTTATAATGCCACTTATGTTGTGGCAAGAGGCACACACAATCGGCATTTTGCTCAACAGTGGAGGAAGCCCACTGGGCAATCTTACTGCAGTCATCATCAGAGTCCAACAGTACACATGTCAATATCACTGTGTCTTGGGAGTCACCAGGTGATCCTGTCACTGGTTATGTCATCTACTACCAGCCTAAGGGAGGACCAGTCATCAGTGACTGGGTGTCTGGAGGAGAGACAGACACACACACACTGGATGGTCTTCAGAGAGGAGTCACCTACTACATCTCCATAGTGGCTCTGTCACCTCACCTACCCAGTCCTCTGTTGGACCTATCACTGTCATTCAAGTGAGTCACTTACCTCTCCTTCCAGCATCATGTCCTTATTCACTCTCTCATAGATCCACTGCTAGTATACGTAGAGACCTCACCTGAATCACTCACTACCTCACCAAACAGCCAGTTCTCAATCAACTGTACTGCCAGAGCTGAGGTTGATGGACAGAGTATTCCTGTGGACATAGAATGGACCAAGATAGACATCTTTTCTCAGTCTGGTCCATCTGAACTGATGCCCACTCTTTACACCACAACTGGATCTCCAGAGAGAGGCTATCAGAGTGTTCTGACCACCTCTGAGAATGACACAGGCAACACTATTATCTACCGCTGCACTGCTACAGTATCCAGTTACTCCAACTTCAGTGAAATTACTGTACATGTTAAAGGTGTGGGGTGCTGTAAGATGTATAGGTTTACATATTTACTCACTTTCAGCAATTGCTCCTAGCCCTAGTACTCAGAGTCTCACTCTCACGTCTACCACTGTTTCTGCCAGTAGTTTCACCAGTTCTACCATTGCTCAAAACATCAGTGGTGAGATATTTACCACCATGTTTATACTAACTATCTTTGTACTGTTTAAATTTTGTATCTCAGATGGTGGTAGTGGTGAAGATATGCCCACAACTTCCAACATGGACAGTGACGTTGCTATCCCCACTGCCACAACTATCACTCCCAAAAGCACTATTGCGACAGGTGAGCCAATCAAACAAGGTCAATGGCTATCAGCTATTTTACTTCCAGATATGGAGGCACGTACTAAAACAATCACTCTCACCACTACGGTCACTTCTACTCCTGTCAGTGAAATGTGTGGATATACTAAGGGTGAGTTGATCCAAACACTATAATGGCTATAAGACTTTCTGTACATCTCAGATATTGACAAAGAACCATTTACTGAGAGCACTGCAGTAATAGCTGGAGGTGTGGGTGGAGGAATAATACTCTGTCTGATCTTTGTCTGTCTCCTCATTGCCATATTTTGCATCTGCAACAGGTATTGTGTTTTCACAGAGTGTAAAATGGTTTGTTGTGTTAGGTTGGACTTTGGTTTAGTTAGCTAAACAATGACATCCCCCCTGCATTTGCCATCTTGACAGATCAGCATACAGTAAGAAGGTGGAGGCCCACAGTAACACAGCCTATGGAATGGTACCAACAAGAAGGGAGGAACCTGTGTACGATGTCATTAATCATCCTCTGAATCAAAGTGCTGCTAAACTACCTCTGTCTCAAAAGGTCACCACTGCATCCACTGCCATGTAACATTATGTAGCCATTTTTAACAATTTTAGTTTTTATCTTAGCAGCAATATTGGCAAGTGTAGTATGGGGCCACTGGCCTTATTGCATGTGTACTGCTGTGTAGAATATTACGATTCTCAAGAGATGTTCTCAAGCCAGCCCGTGTCAGGACTCCGCAAGCTACTAGCTAGCGGGAGACTACGAGTAACCGCATACTGTCATAGCCCAGACCGGTACCGCTCATGCGCAGTGTACCGATAGTGTTAGGCTGGATTTGTATACAAAACTTTGGTTTAGTTAAGTAGACAATGATATCCGCCCTGCATTTGCCATCTTGACAGATCAGCATACAGTAAGAAGGTGGAGACCCACAGTAACACAGCCTATGGAATGGTACCAGCAAAAAGAGAGGAACTTGTGTATGATGAGCCTCTGAATCAAAGTGCTGCTAAATTACCTCTGTCTCGAAACGTCACCACTGCATCCACTGCGATTTAACATTAAATATTTAGCAATAATAGGCCTCGATTATAATGAAAAGCACTTCAAAGTGCGTAACCCTCACCACTGTTAATTATGGAGGTTCAATAGCAGAGACTGCTCTTCCTTTAATTATTCCAATCATCCTTGTCCACATTATTCTGGACATGCGTTTTCAATACTAGTTACTACTACAGCAAAGTGAAAAGCACTTGACAGTCTCAGTCACCACTTTATTCTTTATTTCAGCAGCCAATGGCTACTAGCTACCTGGCTACACTATCTCAGTGACTCCTTCACTGAACAGATTCGCTTCCTGGCTCTCACTTCACTGGCAATCTCGCTCCTACTCAACTGTCTTTATCTCTATTTGACGCACACTCACCTCGGCAGCCCTCCGTTTCGCCAGCTTCCCCGGGCTCCGCTCCAGAATCTTATTTTACCATGCATGCCTCCTACTTGATAATATGTCCACGTTTCACGCTCAGAGTTGCCGCGGTTACCGAGAAAAACGGTGGACAGACGGACGGACGGACACACGGACACACACACACACGACCGACTGCAATAACCCTCCGCTGCGCATGCGCGCAGCGAGGGTAATAATTTTGGCACAGTAGTATCGGGGCCACTATCCTTAGTATAGCTAATTGCTGTGTAGGTTCTCAAGATGCATGCCTCACCAGAAATAAGACAGGCAGGATTCGAATGAATTTGTTTGTGCTCAACCTCACTACAATAATGTTCGTGCACATTACCATCATGACCATCACATGTAAGGAAAATTCAGGTAAAAATACAAATCTCCAGTGAAGAGGAAGATCTCTGTTCGTCTTTCCTGGATTTTTTACATACCAACAGCACAGCTTCCAAATAGTGTGACTGAGACTTATTCTACACAACACGAAGTTGCTATCTGTGATGGTAGAAGAGACAATCGTCTCCTCCTCTTTGAATACTGCTAGAGGTCTGTGGGTGGAGTGGCATAAGAGAACAGGTCTGTGTCACTTAACTGATAAACAGCTTGCTTTATTCACAGGTGTGTATGTATTTATCTTTAAAAAGTTGTAGTTTGGTGCACATTTTTCCAATGTTGATTTTGGATCTTATGTAAAGTGAGTAGTGCTGACTCTAGAGCCTAATCAGTTACTTTTGGAGAAGATAAGATGTCACGAGAAAGTGTACTTTGTCACAGCCATAGCTTTACTGTTTGTTCGGAGCTGCCAGGCACTGCCTCTATTTGAACATGAGGGACATAATCCGTCCAACAATTCCTACATCTACTATCTTCATATTGGTGATGGAGGCCGTGCTCTAAACTGTGTGACTCACAATGTGAACTGCTGCAACAACACTGATGTTGGTGGCTGGAGAGATGAGAGAGAGAGACCAGTCTACCAGGGAGCAGATGGGACCACTTGTCTGTATGTCACTAGAGGAGATGGAGTGATCAGTCTACACCGCAAGAGAGGTTGTAGTGACCACTTATCAGGACTGTGGAGATGTGATATACCTGATTCCAGTGGAGAGATGCAGAGCCTCTATGCCTACATCAGCAATAGAAGATCACATGGTGAGTTATATTATTATACTACCTCCTGGTTTTTACACTTTACCTTTTACTATACCAAAATACAGGACAATTGGCCTTGCTGTATATGAACTTCACTCTACACACTGAGCTCAGAGCAAGTGTTCCTGAATTCACTATCTCCTGCCGTACTCATGGAGGACCTGCCACAACTGTCCAGTGGACAGTAAATGGAGTCCCAGTACAGGAAGACAGATATCATGAGACCAGTCAGCTCATACTGGACACATCTCTCAACTCTGTCTATGACAACAGATTGAGAGTGAGAGGAAGAAGAAATGGGACCTACAACTGTACCATCAGCAACAATATTAGAGATTACTCACCTGAGGCATCCATTACTGAAGTCAGTGGCTCAAAGAGAATTGCAGGTAGCTATACATATTTCATTGTGAAGCATCATTTTATGGCATTTATGTTTAGTGGCAAGAGAGCCAGGCAATCTTACTGCAGTCATCTCTGAGTCCAACAGTACACATGTCAATATCACTGTGTCTTGGGAGTCACCAGGTGATCCTGTCACTGGCTATGTCATCTACTACCAGCCTAAGGGAGGACCAGTCATCAGTGACAGGGTGTCTGGAGGAGAGACAGACACACACTCACTGGATGGTCTTCAGAGAGGAGTCACCTACTACATCTCCATAGTGGCTCTGTCACCTCACCTACCCAGTCCTCTGGTTGGACCTATCACTGTCATTGCTAGTGAGTCACTTATATACCTCTCTTTCCAGCCACCTGCTCACATTACCCACATAACCACACTATTAGTGCTACAAGTGTTACAACTACTAGTCTGATTAGCCCGTTTACCACCAGCAGAGGTGAAACACTGATACCTTGTTGCTATTAACTATGTTATTCTAGCTAGTATGGTGCCTACATCTTCTGTCACTGCACTTACAACCACTGTGGCTGGCCGAAAGACAACTACATCCATCTCTGAGTCTAGCACTAATTCTCAAGTCCCTATTACCACAACTGCTACTGTTACTGTCAGTACAACGGTTGTTACTGGCACCACTATCACTACTGCCCCAAAAAACACCCCAACCAGTGATACCTCTCCAGTCAGTGAAATGAGCACGTTTGTGAAAGGTGAGTTGATCAAAAGAAACTCAATGCTTTTCAGGCTTTTGTACTTCAGGTATGGAGCAATGTATCACTCTCACAACCAATATGGTCACTTGTACTCCTGTCAGTGAAACATGCTCATGTACTAAAAAAGGTGAGTTTATCCAAACTACAATGGCTATAAAACTTTCTGTACATCTCAGATGTTTACCAGGAGCCATGTAGTGCTGAGAGCACTGCAGTAATAGCTGGAGGAGTGGGTGGAGGAATAATACTCTGTCAGATCCTTGTCTGTCTCCCCATTGCCATATTTTGCATCTGCAACAGGTATTGTGTTTTCACAGAGTGTAACATGGTTTGTTGTGTTAGGTTGGACTTTGGTTTAGTTATCTAGACAATGACACCCCCTGCATTTGCCATCTTGACAGATCAGCATATAGTAAGAAGGTGGAGACCCACAGTAACACAGCCTATGGAGTGGTACCAGCAAGAAGAAGGGAGGAACCTGTGTATGATGTGATTAATCAGCCTCTGAATCAAAGTGCTGCTAAACTACCTCTGTCTTCAAATGTTGCCACTGCATCCACTGCCATGTAATAAATAGCAATTTTAGGCCTCTATCATAACAATTTTGGCACAGTATAGTATAGGGCCACTGGTCTTAGTATAAATATGTAGCTGTGTAGAATATTACGATTCTCAAGAAGTTTTCAAGAAGCATGCGCTCGCCAGAAATAAGACAGGCAGGAATGTGTTTCTTGTCATCGAATAAATTTGTGTGTGCTCCAATACGTCCATGCACATCACAGTGACCATAATAAAAAGACAGGTCAAAAGAAAACTAGTGAGGAGAAACAATAGAGATCTCTGTTATTCGTCTTCCCTTGAGATTTGTTCAAGTAGTGTGATCAAAGAACTGGCATTCCCACACAACACAAAGTTGGTATATATCTGTGGTGGAAGCAGAGACTGTGGCCTTCCTCTTGTTTTCTGATAGAGGTCTGTAGGTGGAGTGAAATAAGAGGAGAGGTCTGAGGGGCACATAATTCTTCTTGCATCAGTTAGCGTCGCTTGGTGTATATATGTGTGTACGTGTTATATACTTCTCTCGGCGCGCATGCGCATCGCCTCTCCCGAGAAGGCGTGGCTCTGCGAGAGGGCTGCACGCGCCGCCGGCGGCGCGCGAGTGTCGATCCGAAGTACCTTTACCTTACTGCGCATGCGCATAAGCTTTACATTACGCGCACCCTTTCTATAGTGCGCCGAGGGTGTATATACTTTAGTGAAAGGTTGTTTGGTGCAAATTTCTACCCCTAACCTTAGCCCTTCCAGTGTTGATTTGAAATCTCAGTAATAGCTATAGAAAACAGTTACTTTTGGAGAAGATAAGATGTCACTAGAGAGTGTACTTGTCACTTTACTTTTAGTTCTGAGCTGCCAGGCACTGCCTTTATTTGAACACGAGGGATTTGATCTTTCCAACAATTCCTACATATACTCTAATGATATTCGTGATGGAGACAGTGCCCTAAACTGTGTGACTGACAGTGATAACTGCTGCAATAACCCTGATATTGGTGGCTGGAGAGATGTGAGTGGGAGACCAGTCTACCAGGGAGCAGATGGGGCCACTTGTCTGTATGTCACTAGAGGAGATGGAGTGATCAGTCTACACCGCAATAGAAATTGTACTGGCCACACATCAGGACTATGGAGATGTGATATACCTGATTCCAGTGGAGAGATACAGAGCCTCTATGCCTACATCAGCAATAGAAGACGATATTATGGTGAGGTACACAAACATTTTCTACTTTTACCATACAAAAATGCAGGACAATTGGTCTTGTTGTCTATGAACTTCACTCTACACACTGAGCTCAGAGCAAGTGTTCCTGAATTCACTATCTCCTGCCGTACTCATGGAGGACCTGCCACAACTGTCCATTGGACAGTAAATGGAGTCCCAGTACAGGAAGACAGATATCATGAGACCAGTCAGCTCATACTGGACACATCTCTCAACTCTGTCTATGACAACAGATTGAGAGTGAGAGGAAGAAGAAATGGGACCTACAACTGTACCATCAGCAACAATATTAGAGATTATATACCTGAGGCACCCATTAGTAAAGTCAGTGGCTCAAAGAGAATTGCAGGTATATATTCATATTTCATTACTTCCCTGGCGCATACATCTTTGAAGTTAATGATCATTAGAGGTATACTATTTAATCCAAGCTTTGTTCACAGTTTTTTCTTCCCTGTATATGAACACTTGTTCAACTGTGGACTCCCAGGTGATCCTGTCACTGGCTATGTCATCTACTACCAGCCTAAGGGAGGACCAGTCAACAGTCACAGGGTGTTTGCATTTGAGCACTTACTTGATGGTCTTCAGAGAGGTGTCACCTACTACATCTCCATAGTGGCTCTGTCGCCTAACCTACCCAGTCCTCTGGTTGGACCTATCACTGTCATTCCAGGTGAGTCACTTACGTCTCCTTCCAGCCATCATGTCCTTATGTCACTCTCTCATCAGATCCACCCCCATTACATTACCCACATAACTACACTATTGTTGCAGCAATCACTTCCAGTGCTGCCAATATTTCTGTTACTAACACTGCTACAAGTGCTACAACTACTAGCCCCTTCACCACCAGCAGAGGTGAAACACTGATACCTTTTTGCCACACCACTTAACTATGTTATTATAGCGCTCACTTCTTCTGTCACTGCACTTACAACCACTATGGCTGGTCGAGAGACAACTACAACTACATACATCACTGAGTGTAGCACTAATTCTCAAGTCCCTATTACCACAACTACCGTCATTACCATGGTTTTCACTGGAACTGGTATAACCCCAACGACCACTCCAACCAGTGATATGGTCATTGCCTCTCCAGTTACTCAAATGTCCACATTTGCGAAAGGTGAGTTGATCAAATGCAACTCAATGTCTATCAGGCTTTTGTACCTCAGATATGGAGGCACGTACTAAAACAATCACCCTCACCACCACGGTCACTTCTACTCCTGTCAGTGAAATGTGTGCATGTAAAAGTGAGTTGATCCAAACTATCTATAATTACCATCAGGCCTTTCTCTTCTTCAGATGTTGACAAAGAGTCATTCACTTCTACTTCTGTCAGCGAAATGTGTAAAGGTGAGTTGATCCAAACTATAGTGGCTATCAGAGCTTCTGTACTTTCAGATGGTTACAAGGAGCCACCATTTACCAAGAGCACTGCAGTAATAGCTGGAGGTGTGGGTGGAGGGATAATACTCTGTCAGATCCTTGTCTGTCTCCCCATTGCCATATTTTGCATCTGCAACAGGTAAGTTTTGGCAGAGTGTAACATGGTTTGTTGTGTTAGGTTGGACTTTGTATTTATACAGAACTAGCCAGTTAGGCAATGACCCCCCCTGCATATACTTCTTTGTATCACAGAGTGTAACATGGTTTGTTGTGTTAGGTTGGACTTTGTATGCAGAACACTTTGGTTAGTTAAGTAGACAATGATATCTTTCCTGCATTTGCCATCTTGACAGATCAGCATACAGTAAGAAGGTGGAGACCCACAGTAACACAGCCTATGGAATGGTACCAGCAAGAAGAAGGGAGGAACCTGTGTACGATGTGATTAATCAGCCTCTGTCTCAAAGTGCTGTTAAACTACCTCTGTCTCCAAATGTTGCCATTGCATCCACTGCCATATAACATTATATAGCCGTTTTTAACAATGTAGTTTTTATCTTAGCAGCAACATTGACAAGTGTAGTATAGGGCCACTGGTCATAATTATTATGTACTGCTGTGTAAAATATTACAATTCTCAAGAGAAGTTCTCAATTACCAGAAACATTTATCGTCATCTAGCTAAGACAACACGATCGACCTCTGTACAATAATAATCACATAATCACAGTATCACAGTGACCATAATAAGTCAGCGAAAGTTGTCAAAAAACTATTTAGAAAACAAATCTCCAGCCAGGAGGAAGAATAGAGATCTCTGTTATTCCATTTTCCTGGAGATTTGTTTACGTGCCCGCAGCAGCCTCCAAGAGTGTGATCAAAGAACTGAGATTCCCACACAACACAAAGCTGCTGTCTGTGGTTGTAACAGAGACTGTCGTCTTCTCCTTGTTTCCTTGTGAGCATTGAGGACAGTGGGTGGGTGGAGTCTAGTATATCAGAGGAGAGGTTTGAGGCGCACAACATATTCTCTTTCTTGTATCAGTTGACTGATAAACAGTGTGCTATAATACACAGGTGTGTATGTATAAAGTTGTTGTTTGGTGCACATTTTTCCAATGTTGATTTTGAATCTTACGTAAAGTTAGTAATGCTGACTCTAGAGCCTCATCAGCACACAGTTTTTTTTGAGAAGATAAGATGTCACTAGAAAGTGTATTTGTCACAGCTATAGCTTTACTGCTAGTTCGGAGTTGCCAGGCACTGCCTTTATTTCAATATAATGGATATTCTCCGTCGAACAATTCCTACATCTACTATAATGATATTCGTGATGGAGATGGTGCTCTAAAGTGTGTTACTGACAGTGTAGACTGCTGCAATAACTCTGATGTTGGTGGCTGGAGAGATGAGAGTGGGAGACCAGTCTACCAGGGAGCAGATGGGACCACTTGTCTGTATGTCACTAGAGGAGATGGAGTGATCAGTCTACACCGCAAGAGAGGTTGTACTGACCACACATCAGGACTGTGGAGATGTGATATACCTGATTCCAGTGGAGAGATGCAGAGTCTCTATGCCTACATTGGTCATGAAAGGAATTCTAACCCACCTGGTAAGGACACGCAATAGTAGAACATATGGTCAGTTTTACTCTCTCTGCTCACTGCCCTGGAATACAGGACAACTGAACAAGCTCAGTATCTATGAACTTCACTCTACACACTGAGCTCAGAGCAAGTGTTCCTGAATTCACTATCTCCTGCCTTACTCATGGAGGACCTGCCACAACTGTCCAGTGGACAGTAAATGGAGTCCCAGTACAGGAAGACAGATATCATGAGACCAGTCAGCTCATACTGGACACATCTCTCAACTCTGTCTATGACAACAGATTGAGAGTGAGAGGAAGAAGAAATGGGACCTACAACTGTACCATCAGCAACAATATTAGAGATTATCTAGATGAAGACTATGTATCTGTTACCCAAGCAAATGGAACTCTAAATATATCAGGTAATGAAAGAATTGCTTAGCTCCCATGCGTTTGCTTACACAGTTGCAGGAGAGCCCACCAGTGTTACTGCAGTCATCTCAGAGCCCAACAGTACACATGTCAATATCACTGTGTCTTGGGAGTCACCAGGTGATCCTGTCACTGGCTATGTCATCTACTACCAGCCTAAGGGAGGACCAGTCATCAGTGACAGGGTGTCTGGAGGAGAGACAGACACACACTCACTGGATGGTCTTCAGAGAGGAGTCACCTACTACATCTCCATAGTGGCTCTGTCACCTCACCTACCCAGTCCTCTGGCTGGACCTATCACTGTCATTGCTAGTGAGTCACTTACCTCTCCTTCCAGCCATCATGTCCTGATATCACTCTCTCATTAGATCCACTGCTGGTATACGTAGAGACCTCACCTGAATCACTCACTACCTCACCAAACACTCAGTTCTCAGTCAACTGTACTGCCAGAGCTGAGGTTGATGGACAGAGTATTCCTGTGGACATAGAATGGACTCGGATAGACGTCTTTTCTCCATCTGGTCCATCTCAACTGGTGCCCACTCTTTACACCACAACTGGATCTCCAGAGAGAGGCTATCAGAGTGTTCTGACCACCTCTGAGAATGACACTGGCAGCTCTTTTTTCTACCGCTGCATTGCTACAGTATCCAGTTACTCCAGCTTCAGTGACACAATTGTGTTTGTCAAAATTCCGATCGCGAGTATGTACATCTCAACATAGTAAAATTGTGTATTAGATTTTTACAATTAGCTTTCACTAGCACAACTGAAGCTACAACTGTTTACACGACAAATGTGATCCTTAAGACTTCTACCACCACCACTGCACTCTATGCTGAAGCTATCACCACCACTGCTCCTTATTCTAGTATGACGACAGCTACTGTCACACCTACCACCAAAAGGTAATTGATTATCTTCACTGTTACATAGGTACCAACCCAGAGCTTATGTGTGCCTCATAATAACAGTTGTTGAGGGCGAGTCAGGTCCAGACAAGACTGCACTAACTGCAGGAGTTTTAGCTGGAGGGATATGTGTGATCATTGTCAGTCCTCTTGTATTCGTTCTGGTTTTTCTGGATTGCAAGAGGTATGTACATACATTAGTCAATTGCAGAGGTAAAATTTTGAGATAGAATAGCCACACGTGCTAGACTATTAGACCAACACCGAAGAAAACTATACCAAATTAATAAGTTGTAAACAAATAAACCATAATCTTTTGTTGCAGGTTTTCACGAAAAGGTCGAAACGTCATGGCAACACAACATACAGTGGGAATAAGGGTATTATACTATAACCAATTCCGTCTTTTGACAGTCATAGAGACTTTACAGTCATGACTTTTGTGTGAATACTATTGCGCATGCGCAATTTCGGAAAGGAGGGGGTGGGGCTGATCATGCAAGAAACGCGCGCGCGCGCACGTAGAGCCTTAGAGCCAGCTCAAGGCGGAGAAGATCGATATGGGGGATTGCTACGTACCTAGTACACTGATCAGCTGGGTACACGAGCAGGTTCCCTTCGTCGACCCTGGCTTCAACAATAGCGGAGAGACAGCAGAGGAATTGGTGGACAATCTGAACCTGGGAGTGGCCAGTTTCTACGACTACTTTCTGGTGGGCCACGCTGGTAGCAGTAGGCTTACACCATAGGGCCGGTGTTATTAGCTAGTAATCTAGCTAAGTGAATTCTCATGGATTTATCGGTGTCTCTACCTGCAGAGAGCAGCAGTATGGGGAGGAGTGGTGTTTCTAGTGGCCGCTCCTCTGCCCGTGTTGTCGTGTGTCTGGTACTGCTGTACCATCAAGGCCTGCAGACGCAGTAGAGAGCGCGAAGGTGGTCCGAAGCGCCATAGGCTCACTAAAGCAGTGTGTCTAGTACTGCTTATTGGATTGGTCCTCGCTAATGTGTGAGTCAATTCATCTAGCTACATAGCTAATGAGGATTTTATTCAAGATTGTGAATAGACTTTATTAATTCTTCCAGCTCTTTTATTGGTGTTGGATTGGGGGCGGAGGAACAGTTTGACAGAGAGTTCAGAAACAACTTCGACGATATTCGAAGTCTACTTAACAACGCCAGCAGTCTCTCTTCTAATGCAAATGGGAACAATAGCAGTTCAGGGAACAGCCTAGACTCCTTCTCTTCTTTCAAGTCTGCAAGGTTCACCCATAATAGCACACTTTAGTCTCCAAATCATTGGTAGCTATTATAGAAGGATTTCTGCTTTCTGTCCCTGCCAGTGAATGGGTCCTTCTCGTTTGCTTTGTTGCCCTGTTCATACCACTGCTGGCAGTGTTGTTTGGACTGATTGTGGCCTCCATCTGCAAACATCCTTCTGCCATGATCATGTTAGTTGGTTCATGGCAGCATCATGGTAGCATTAGCTTCACATTATGGTGTTTGTTGTTGTTTTTTCTTCAGAGCCCTCATTTTACTATTGTTAACAACAGTCATCCTGGTTCCTTGCATTGGAGTCGGGGTTTTCCTTCTTATTGTAAGTTTTATCCACGACCTCACCTTGAGCTGTGTTGGCTAATGTCCCAATAATAATTATAGCTCTATTCTGATGTGTGTGTGGGACTGCAGTACAAGCAACTCAATGTGACAGAAGGCTGCATACCACAAGTACGCCGTGTGTGTATTATTGTACAGAGCACTATAACGTGACATGATGTCCAACATTCTTACTACACTGACAGCTACAGAGCTACACGGATAATTTGGAAAGCTTCTGCAGTAATGCCTAGTGAGTCAACACAGCAGTTAGTGAGCGAGTGCTAGGGTTACACATATCTAGTTATGTGCCAAGTCAACTGTGCACATTTTAGACTACAAACGCTCTCAAATTTCCTTATCTCTCTCCTTACAATAGTGCATCTTTCCTGATGATGGTATTAGCTGTAGCTGGTACAGTGTTGGCACACTGTTGTCTACAACTATCTGGCAGTTGCTTTGCTGGTCTGTATACCGGGTAACTATCTATACATGCACTTGTATCCTGATCTGAAAAATTACCATTGCAGATACAGAAGGAGTGTTCGTATTGCTCCATTTGATGACAATACGCATGAGATGCAGCCACCTAGCCCTCCACCTAACTCACCATTGCCACCTGACACTGATGAGGCTGACAATGCAGCGTTAGTTAACAATAGTACCAGTACAGCACCGCTACAGATGCTACAGACTGTCTTGAGCAGGCTTATTTTTTCACTCTCTCTCTCTCTTCTATAGTTTGTTGTTATCCATGGACCAGGAGCCAGCATCAACTGCGGAATCAGAAGAAAATTGGCCTCATGACCCACTACCCAGTGCCCCTCCTCCCAACACTCCTGATCCACCACAGTACGAACAACCCTCCATCATAGAATATCAAGACAATCCTGTCATTGTTTGAACTGGCTATGTGTAACACAATGTCTTGGGAGATTTATGTTACAGACTTCCTTGTGTTTGTTGTAACACTCATTGAACGGGCAAGTACATACGTACGCAGATAATAACGCGGTATTATGTGCGCTCTGATCTAAACGGGCGAGCGGGAACGCGCATGCGTAAAAGTTACACGACGGTATTCTCTAGTTGTCTAGTCTACTAGCAAGCGAGAGAATGGGAGAGGTACGGTGCTACGAGCCGAGTTCGCTCATTGAGAGCATCCACAAGAATGTCCCGTTCCTGACGGACAGGGAGCCGGGAGAGAGCTCTTCGGAGCTGGTCCTGAGCCTCGGTGACGGCACCAGGGCCTTTTACGACTACTTCGTGGTGAGCCGCCACGTACACCCATTCCCCCGTGGTGTCCGATAGCGTATAGCTGCAGCGGTATATAGCCACCATTGTCTATTCACGCCTGTAATATCAGATTCCATAAACATGCCACAAAAGGCAGCATCTATTGTAGTGCTTCAATGCTATAGGTGGTTGACTAGCCAAATTCGTTCCAGTGTATATAGCATTATCTACTACTCCTGTAATAAAATGCTGCTCTATGCGGGCATGTTAGGCTGCAAAAATATTGTTTATATCTCACATAATAATTGAATCTGCAAATTGATTGCCTGTTTGGTTGGCTTGGCACTGTTTTGAACTGTTAGTGGCGGTGATAGTTCGTTTCCAAGTATAGCCTTCCCTAGGGACATAATATGTACACGTTTTCACACACCTGTAACCAAGTACTGTGGGCATGTGTCTCTACCTCACGTCTCAATAGACAGACGGGAGAGAAACAGGGCTCTAACGGTGTAGAGATGTAGGAACATAACCATGCTACTGTCAATGGTCCATTCAGACTAGCTGTTCTGTGTGGACACTACCTACCAAGTGATAACCAATTTCTATTTGGCCGTACTATACTTCATAGAACTGGTGGATAAGATGCACATAGTCTTACCGGGCCGTCAATTAACAAATTTGCATTTGTACATGTCACAGCAATTATACACTTGAAACTGCCCCAAGTTTGCACTTCTGAGTAAGTGAACAATCAAGTACGGGTTTATGGGGTACTGTATTCATTAATGTAGTGAATGTAATGGCAGTGAATGAGCTCCCTCACACTCTGCAGAGAGCCCTGTTCTGGGGGTTATTTATCGTCCTGGCGGCCATAGTGTTGCTGGCAATCTCTTGCTGCTGCTACTGCTGCTCCATCTGCTGCTTCTGTCTCGGTCAGAGGGGAGATGTGGCCAAGTCCAAGAGATCCAAATGCACCTGCGGCATCTTTTTGCTTCTCGCTGCCATCTCGTGTCTGTGAGCCAACGTTTAATAGCTAGCGACACTGCCATTTTGTCTCTGATTATAACCACGCCCGTTTACTATGCAAATATTGAGTTCTTCAACATTTGCAAGGCCAAAATTTTCAATGTAGATGCCTTTTGCTTCTCACTGCCTCTCTGGACAACTCAACATATACCATGGTTTACCATTGAAATATCGGGTTCTGTAACATTTGACCTTTGCAAAGCCAAAACTTTCAATGTTAGATGCTTTCTTCCACATGGTATGATGCAGTTCGTGCGTGTAGAAAAGCATGTGCTCTGCTTCAAAACAACTGGCAACCCATACTTGCTGTACTGTCAACACTGCTGTGATGCTATGCAGGTGTATGTGTGCTGTGGGTATATGGGCAGAGGTGGAGTTGGACAGTAGGATAATGGACAAGAGCTCTAGTGTCAACAATTACCTTGACTCTGTCCTCAACAGCCAGTCTGCTTCAGTAAGACTAAAGGGAATGTAGCAGTACTATAAGGGCTAAATTTAGAAAATGCAATTGCCCCCTTGCGTAATCTTTGGTAAAATTTAGCCCTTATGTACTGGCACATTCCCTTAAACTCCAGCTCTTTCTGCCGTGATACTTCATAACTGAGAAACTGTCTCTGTTTGCAGGGAGAGAACTCGACAGTTGACCCTTTTGTAGCTGCAGATCAAGCAAGGTATTGTGCAACTATAGCAGCATCCTCCGTGTGACATGAATTATTCTCTCTCGCGCAGACACTGGGCAACGGTGGGGTTCCTGATAATGGTGATGACTCTACTGGTGGGAGTCATCACTGTCGTTCTCTGTGCTCCAGTCTGCAAGTCACCGACTGTTGTTGTCGTGTAAGACCGCATGTTTGCTGTTAGCTACTTACTTTTCCTGAAGATTAGCCATTTGGGGTGCTCAGAGTAGCTGTTTGGGGAATATGCTTAGTGAAAACTTATCAAGGCTGGGACAGGAGAGTTTTGTTTGTGGAATATCTTGGTAATGGTACTAGCTACGCATGCATTACTGCTACGCACACCCCTCAGTTTACCTTAGAAGTACCGCGGAAGTATATATACCCATTTTCCAGAACTGTGGTACTGTGTACCATCATCACCTTACTGACCGCCTTTGCAGCTGGGGCAATTTTGTCTTTCCTCGTGGTAAGTCCCTACGAAACGAGCACATTTCAAGCACTACTTGCACACCCACAAAGACTCGTCACACTGCCATCTGTGTGTTTGTTATTCTCAGATATTCTCTGATGTGTGCTATGGTCTATTCAGCCTCGGAGGAAAAGAAAGCTGTAGCATTGAGGTCATAATTATATATACAGTCTACAATGTGCATACAAATATCTACCGCAAGTATTGTATCACTTTCCTATAGAGCTCTGCATATAGAGATGACCTCAATGTGTTCTGCAATGAAGCATAGTAAGGCCGTACAACTATTGTCTTCACTCAGTCATATTATTTCCTCCCATATATGCAGCCAGTATGGCATGGTGTCGTTTGGAATAGCATGCAGTCTGGTGATAGGGTTCTTCATAGTTCAAATTCTCGGTGGAGTTTTTGCCGGTCTGCTAACAGGGTGAGGTGGCCCCTGTGTAATTAAACAATAACAACCCCCATGTCTTTGACTTTTCATGTCGACATTAATTCGTGATTTGGTAATGCTTTGTGTTACAGAAATTCACGTCTGCCACTGACAAAATCAGACATTGAACTAGATGGTCCTTCCGTATGGGATGCTTACGGAACTCACAACCTAAGTGGGTAAGACCCTGAATTAATCAATAATCCTCTCACTCAGTCATTTTGGGTCTGTATGGACATTTCATAAATTACCATAAAATTTGTTTTTCACTAATAATAATAATACTCAGGTGGCTACCATACCACTAGGGCCATAGACCACGCACCCAGAGCAATGGGCGGAACCGTTAACAAACGAATTTGTTTTTCACTAGTATATATTTTGCTAATATTTGTGGACACCAATTTGTACCACATTATGCAGACGCACTACTTCTTTCATTGCAAGCGATAATATAAGCAAAAAGGACACCAATATTAATAGTTTTACAGTATGCAGTCATCCTCCACGTTGTTCCCTAGATTAACAACAGAGTCAGTCGAAATATCAGATTCTTTTGAGTCCACCATGCAACTGGTAAGTAGTTAAAGTGTATATACATTAGTACCCAGGTTGTTATATTTCAATTATCTACAGTATCCAGATAACGGTGCCAAAGTTCTGCCAAACAAGGTATACCCATTGGCAAGGATCTAAGGACAGAAGGAGCAGTGACATCATTTCATGCATAGTGCATTCAGTACAGACAAGTATGTAGAGCCTTTTTTGTCAGTGTAAATGTGTGTGTTTCTTCCACTCTTTAATTCAAAGGCACTGATAATTCGTTTTCATCATGCACACGCGCCGCGCGCACTGGTCGCGAGCAAAGGTGGTGCGCATGCGCAAAACGGGGGCGGCGCTGCGCGCCCTATATAAACTGCAGTATCACTAATTCACGAACTATTTCGGTCCACATGATGGTCTGCGTTGTGCAGCTCCTGTTGTTAGTCATAGCGATAGAGAGAGGCTTTAGTCAGGATTGTACTCCACCAGAAACTAAAGATCTGAAAAGTCCTACTGGAAGATATTATTGGAGGCGGAAACAGTGCAGCAGCACCAAATATAACTTTGGTTGACTTTAAAGTAGTCTGTCGTGCATATGGCAAACAGCAGGATCTCCTAAGAGCCGTCTCGGTGGTTATAGAGTACATATGCTCAGGTCATGATAACTGTCCTGTAGCGGCCCCTGCACTGGAGCAGATTGACTTTGAATGTATCCGTGGACAGTGGAGCAATAGTGTGTTAGGGATGACTGCTAATACTCGTTCCACTAACACTGAAGCTAGTTTCACAACTACTAGCAGAGAAGACTGTGCACAGTGCATAGCTCCTGAGCTGGGCGAAAAATTTTCCTTCATTACTGATAGTATCACTCACTGTAGAGGTCAGTATTATACAACGGGCATAAAGTATGCCACTGTCCACTAAAATAATGTATAGAGCAACTGAAATGTTACTGTAGCTTGCAGTTCTATGTGTAATGAAGGTTTACAGTGATGCTATGGGGCCCAAAGTATACAACAACTCAATGTGTGTTAAAGGAACGCCCTATAGTCCTTACACTGCTAGCTCTGATGCGTGTCAAGCTGGACGCAGTTGTCAGGATGGTTTGTGAGCTGCTCTTCCTTCTCTTCCTCTTCTTTCAGTTTGTTTGTGATTCCAAACATTATTGGGACTGTTTTGACGGTGTTATCGTAGGTGACTGTGGACCTCCTGTTGTCCCTGCTAATGGAGATGTGAGGGTGTTTGGAACATCAGTTGCTGTCTATTTCTGTGATGACGGATACTATCTGGCTGACAGGAGCTATAGAGTGTGTTTGGATAATGGTGCCTGGTCAGGTAGTGTCCCTGCATGTAATAGTAAGCCATAAACAAATTCTGAATGTATGGTTATAATATGTGCTTTCTCCAGAATTGGTGGATACAAGCGAAGATATGATATTCAAAATAGCTACCATATCTTTGGGAGTGTTGTCTGTCATCTTGGGAGTAGTTCTAACACTATCGCTTGTTGCTGTGAGGAAGGTTCACAAGGAGGTTATTATCATGAAATCCAGACATGTTCAGATAAATACTGCACCCAATGAATCTTACGCGATATTTGGTAACTGATAATTATTATCCTTTAGCCTTTCAGAAAGCTTCTTTTCAGGTAATTCAAAGCATAGTTCTCACTCTGCTACAAACCTAGAAGGTTAGCTACGCAGAACGAAACTTTGTGGTTATTTGAATAAGTACACTAACTATACCCTAAGGTGGCAGTGCTCCTGAGTCCGACGCGGAATATGCAACAGTTCATCACATGAAAGGAACTTGTAATGCTGGTAATGGCCATTGTAGACACAAAATTTATTGTCATGATTATCATCTTAAACTATACAGGGAGCCTACCCAATATCAGTGTTGCAGATGGATCCATAACTGTAAGACAGAAAAAGGATTACAAACCGTAAACATGTCTGGTGTATCAGAAACTGTACAGGTGGTTATCGAAAACTGCAAAGATCACAATATATAGAGTGTGTAAAATAACAGGCTTCAAAAATGACGCTGTTCACACTGTCAACACACACACACACCCCCCGGCCCCCGCGGCTATCGCGGCGGCGCGCGCAGCGACAGGCGGGCCGGGCCGGCCGTCGGGCGCGTAGGTTTGCGCGCGGGCTAGGCGTGGGGCGTGGCTAAGGTGTAGGTGGGCGTATCTGGCATATGGTGCGCTCTAAAAAGAAATCCCTCACGCCGATCGGAGTGGAGCAGTTCATGTTTCGACTGGTACGGTGTCCCTGTCTGAGGTTCTCTCAACTGAGACTGCTCTCGGCCAAGGCCAGGAGGACTCGTCCCAGCGCCGCTGAGCCTGGCCAGGGAGACAGAGAGCCCAGAGAAGGTCGTGATAGCTCATAGCTAGTAGCTCCACGTGGGCTACTGAGCTAGCTCACCTGTTTCCCGTTTCGTTATTTTGCCGTGCCTTAGGAGCGGCCGAGGGGACTGTACCCTCCGTGTCTGTTCCCAGCACCAGTGTAGATAGCGGAGGCTCTAGATCAGCACCGCAGACACTCAGTCTTCATGACAGTCTCTACATTTCCTCTCTACTGGATGCCTACCTTGGACTCGGCATGGTAGGTCCAGTCATAAGATATCAGACGCGTATTATATCTCTGCTCCAATGCATGCTCGCCAGTACATTATGTGTACAATGTCAAAAAACTCACTTAGATTAAAAACTGCTCACGGGTGCTGAAAAGACTAGCTAAAGAAAGAAGATCACGTGCAGCTCTGTGCGCATAGCTTTTTCTGTGCATTCATATATAGCTGCTCACACATATGCATTTCATACTACCTGTAAGACGGTTCTTGTGCAATACGTATACGTATCGACAAACGTCACAAATACCTATCTGCTGTGTGGGCTATGGTGATAGTTGTGTATATCTGGATCTGCAGGTGTCTGAGGCGGAGCTGGTGTTCAACAGGCATCGTCGAGAGGGCCACACGTTCCCAGTCTCTGTCTACAACAAGATACTCCAGTCCTGGGTCAAGAAGGCAAGCACCACAAATATCCACCTCATGCTTTCATCAACAACTGGCCTACTACTTTGCTGAACGCGACATTACTTGGCTATGTTGAAATGTAGAATTGAACCCATCTAATCTGGACACCAATGAAAGAGAAAAGTGTCCGTGTTAGTTGAGTGGCCTTGTTTCAGGGGTTAAATTACCTGCAAGAGCTGTTCTTAGGGAAGGCCTTATTAAAGAGGTGCCCTCATTTCAGAGTGTACTTTGAGAGGGGTCCCATTATATTGTGCTTCAAGTGAAGTTATACTTCATAAATTACATTGGTCTCAAACTGGACTCAATAGCTTTCTTCTCTACCGTAGGGTAGCCAGCTGAGAGCTGTCATGTTGTTTGAGAGTATGGTGAGGGACGGGGTGGACTGCAATGCCCAGACCCACGCCATAATGCTGGTCCTCCACACAAGGTCTGGGCTTGGTAGTACAACAAAAGAGTATAGAATGTGGTTTCACATTTTGTATATAATTATGCAGAAGAAAAAACTGGGATGCTGCAAAGAAAATTGTAGCACGGATGGAATCAGAGGTATGTATGTAAAACCAACCCCAAGATATAATATGTCTCATTTTTATCTCCACTTTTTTCTGTTGCTCTTCAATTGCTCTGTGTGTCAGGGTTATCCCCTGAAGCACATCCTTCAGATGGCACAGCTCTCCAAGACGGAAGCAGCTGAAGTTCTCAAGGTGTCTGCAGACAGTACTGTACCTCTCTTATAAATTTGACCTCTTTCAAAACTTTATCAAGCACTGTAAGATGCTTAGTGTGTTGATTACCATCTATATAGCAGGAAAAATATTTTTGATGCCAAAATAGTGATAGACACAGTTTTAGTTTGAGAATGGATTTTGGTGTCATGTGAAATGCGAAAATGTATTTGCGTACTGTATATATGATGTTATGTATACACAGGCAATGGATCACTTTAGAGTGTCGGCTGAGAAATTACCTCGTCAAGTGGGGCCGTACCCTCGAGTAGTGCGGAGTCTGTATGATGACTGGAGCAGAGAGAGTGACACAGAGAGACCGGGGGAAGTGACATCAGGGGAGGAGAAGTCAGAAGAAAGACTGGTACTATGATTTGTACAGTAACTGATATACCAGGGATGATAGTGGTCCAATGCATCAAAGTACTATGGTGTTAGATATATACTACTAGGATAGTGAATGGACAGTAGTGCAAGTGGCTGATAATGCAAGTCATCAAAAGGAAGCACACAGTATTGCTCTATATATCCAGGGTGTGGGGGTTGCGTCGGTGAAGGTGTTTAGTCCAGACGAGCTCAAAGACAGACTGAGAAGACAGTTACAGATGGAACAGCAGGTAGTAGAGCAACATGTCATGAATTATGCCAAGAACACAATTATGCTGTCGACTTATGCGCACACTTTGATATACTGCAAAGCATAAAGTTAATGTGCCCGAATGTTGTATTATGATTCTACCCTCACTGGCTGTCTCACAGGGCTATCTGAGTGCTCCCTCCATTGCTGCAGTACATAAAACTGACAGCCCTGAGGAAGAGGCTCTCAAGGTGACCCACCTACATATGTAGTGTTACAGCTATAGTATTACATATGACTAATAATTGCAGGAGTCCACCCACCGGCTGATGCGTCAGTGGCGAAGGGACCTGACAGCTGCACTAAAAAGGGACAACGAGGATTTCAAAACAGTAGTCAAGTGCCTACCAGGCATGTGACAGTAGACAAATAGACTCTCTCCCTTTATAGCTATACATTGACGAATACTGTACACTTGTGGTGTAGTATGAAGACCTTATGTATGTATGTGTATCTCTTTACACGGTGTATAGGTGCTAATGAATGATAAACTAACCTATGTGTTTTATCTCAGCTCTGGGTTCAAAGTTCTTTGGTCCGAAGCAGTACCCGTTCCTGCTGCTCCTGCCAGCGGAGGTGTGGGCCGACATCGTGGTGGAGGAGGTGGTGGTTCATATCCTCGGCCAACAACAGGGGCTCCCCCTCACCTTCCTCTGCCGACTCATCTGTGACTCGGCCTGGCATAAGTACGTGGTCCTCCAGAAGAAGCAGAGGGGAGTGGTGGAGAAAGTGAGTCAGAGCCCTGCCTTTGGTTCACTTGTCCCGTGGCACTATATTCAATGAAAGATTTGCACGAAAAAGAGGGGAGTGGTGGAGAAAGTGAGTCCTGGGATTTATAGAGCCCTTTACTTGTCCCATGGCACCGTACTAAATTTGTTATTGAAAAATTTGCTGCACAAACAAGATTTTACCCTGTGTATCAGAGCACATACACTAGTATTAAATGCTCCTGTGTTTGTTCAAGTTATAATCTTCCACAGCTTGACAAACCTTACGTTCTTCTCCCAGACATCTCAGCTGTACCAGCAGTTCATGAGTCACCTGGCCACTCCCTCTCCCCCTCACCTTCCCCACCGCCAGCTCTGGCAGGACATGGACGATGCTCTCGCCAGTGCCGGCTCTCTGGTATTACACTGGTGGTTGGGCAGTTTAATACGTTGTAGCCACTATGCACAATAACATGCTTTTGGTGGACTGCCGATAACCCTTTTGAGCCAATTCACAGTGGGTTCCTTACTTTTCTGGAGTCTTAAACTAAAATCTTGGGCTATTCTGATAGCTTGAAAACGTTTTTGCCTTTCATTGTCTTCATCTCTCGGCCTACGATAATGCCTCTATGCTTTGTGTGTGTGTGTCGTGTTGTGTTGGACCATTTGTACAGAGTGTGGATATTCCAAAGTGGCCGTTCACTGTGGCCAGCTATGTTGGAGCTGGCCTCTTGTCGCGACTGATAGACACTGCAAAACTCAGTCTCAGTGACGACTGCAAGTTAGTGGCTTTATCCAATAGTTACAGGGTCTTTCATGTTAGGGCTACATGTATCTGGCATCCACTCTGCACCTAACATTGTACATCTTCTGTGATACTTTATTTAACTACTAAAACAATGTTTTGGTGAGCGAAGCTGCCTTTGAATGACTTGCACGTGATGTTTGCGAATGCACGTTGTCAAAGCACAGAGTCGGTTATTACAAATTGTGCATTTCAGATGACTAGGTCGGCTCGCTTCGCTTGCCAATAACAGACTTGTATGTTGTGTGCAGTGGCGAGGCGGCCTTCTTCCACTCGTATGAGGCGGGAGAGAACGGGTGGCAGGCGGGTCACGTCAAAGGTCATCAGAAACTCTTCAAACTCTTCAAAAAATACTACATCAAACACGAGGTGCATACATCCATTAGCATGATTAACAGATACATACACAGCAAGAACACTTTAGCGAAAAAACATATAGAGGAAGATTTTAGGAAGTACAGTAATAAAACCAAAAAACACGAGAAGAGCATGATTAAAGGGAATATGGCAGTATTATAGGGCGCAGTACAAGAGTGGAATTACGTTACTGTTAAAATTTAGCCCTTTTGTACGTACATACTTTGGTATTCCGTTACGTTACTGTTTTTAGTAACATTTTTCTTTTCTAATTTTGCCCTTTTATACATACGTTCCCTTGCTAAGTGCTCATATGATTTTGTGTCCCGCCATTTGAACTGTGACTGTGTCCTGCAGTCCACTCACTTCAGACTGGCGGCAGAACTGACTCCCATGCTGATCCCCCCACGACCCTGGAGCCAGGTCAACGAGGGGGGATACTTTGTCAATCCCGGTGAGAACCCCCACCCTCTCCTGCCAACTAGTGTGCCTCTGTCTTAAACTCTTCTTCCCTCTCTCCCCCTCTCCACCACTTCCTCCCGTCCACTTCTTCCTCTCCCTCTCCCCCATTTCCCCCATTTCCCCCGCTCTTCCTCCCTCCCCACACTCTTCTTCCCTCCTCCCTCCCTCTTTCTCTCATCTCCACTCTCCTCCCAGTCTCCATCATGCGCAGTGTGGCAGATGTGTACCAGCACCACTCTCTCCTGCAGCAGGCTCCAAACCTCAATGCTGTGTTTGACTCTCTCAATGTCCTCGGGACCTGCTCGTGGAGAATCAACACTAGGGTATATACATGTATATAATGTATGTATATGCCTGGGTCGCCTTATCTCGCTGTCCCTATCCCTATCCCGCCTTTCCTCGCACGCTCTCCCTACCCAATCGCATTATGTACTCATACAAATGTGCAGGCAAATACACACACACACACACACACACACACACACAAATCACCCTATTCAGATGCTATGTAGGTTGACTTTCTGCCAATTAAACAAACCGCAGCAAACACCACCAGATGCTCCAATATCTAATCATTTCGTTTTTGTGAAGCTTGAATTGCTGCCCACAGATCCTGGACCTTGTGACAGAGATATTCAACAGGGGAGGTAATGATGACCTGGGAGTCCCTGTCAGAGACCCTGTCTTCCCAGAGTGAGCAAAACTTAATGGAAATGTGGCAGTATATAAGGGCTATATTTAGAAAATTAATTGTGTTCTTTCATCTTTCACTAGGTGCTTAGTTCTAGCTTTAGTAACATTTCTAAATTTAGCCTCTGTACGGCCATATTCCCTACCCTTCCCTGTCTAAGTTTGTCACCCATCGAAACATGCACACCCCCGAGAGTAGTAGCACCCATATTACATAACACATGTACTCATTTGCAAGCAATGCAATGGCTTCTGAAAGAAGATTCATCCCTCAGGGTTATGTTTTGAAATTTTACTCCTCTCGGCATACAATAATTGTATGCCGAGAGGAGTACATATAATGTGCCACACAAACGTGGAAGAGCTGGACCTCGAAGCTAAGTATTGATTTCCTGTTACTTGATGTGTGTGTGTGTGTGCAGGGGTCTGGAGAACCAGGAGCCCTCCAGAAGGAGAGATGCTCAGATGAAGAAACTGAGCAACGAGTGCTACTCTCTGTGGATGGACATGCTCTATCGACTCTCCCTCGCTAATTACGTCAGCCCCTTAATCAAGATATGATCAGGTTACATGTGCTTGGTGTGTGTGTGTGTGTGTACAGTTTCGAGATGATCTGTTTTGGATGCCTCACAACATGGACTTCCGTGGCAGAGCCTACCCAGTGCCTCCTCACCTCTCACACCTCAGTATGTGTATCGCCATGGTCACTAGTACACAAACCCAATTTCTACTTTTCGAGTTTTAGTTACTATTCACTTGTAGTTCCCAAGAAGTTGAATTAATATAGAACCAGCGCCCCTTATTCCGATTTGGTAATGCCTATTATCGTACTTCAACTAAAGTCTATAAACATACATTGTATGTGCACGTGTGTATCATATGTGCAGCGAGTGACGTTGGTCGTGCTATGCTCCAGTTTGGAACTGGGTATCCTCTGGGAGACAAAGGCCTGGACTGGATCAAGATACACCTGGTCAATCTCCATGGACACAAGAAAAAGTGGGCCCTTGTCCCCTACATCTATAAAATAGTTAAACTGCGAGTCCGTGAAACTATGAAGAAGAGGACCCTTGCATTGTATTGTTCCGAGCGTGCATGAGGACTCTACGTGAAGTGCCCAAGGCCTTCTAATGTGTGCACATTTTTAAACAGACAAGATGCCTAACCTGTTTAGAACTTTACTCCAATTGACGTGCACTTGTTTTTACGTGTGCGCGGGTTGTGCAGGGGAAATGGCGCCATTGGCACTTAGTAAACTCGATGTGAGTTACTACGAGGGTTAGTACACACGCTTTCACCCTTTAGTGCGTACTAACAAAACTGACTATAATTATGATGTTGTGGTGTTGGTCAGGGGGTCTTTGAAAGAGAGGGTGGAGTATGCTGATGAGATGATGGAACACATCATGGACTCGGCAGACCGACCCATGGAGGTAAGCTGTCACCGAGAGCCACTTTTTATGGTTTGTGGTGAGTTTTTCAATCCCGTCATTTTCCCTTTGTTCACAACTAGTTCTAGTAAGGTTACCACAACATGATTCCCGCAATTTTTAATAAGTCTTATGTATAGTTTTGCATAATATTCACACAAGTAAGTCAAACTGTGAACAGTCCATACATTTAGCTGTGTTATCAGTTCTTGAGGAGAGGTTCATGCTCCCCACTACGAAGGGGCGGAAGTTCACTAAAACACCGAGATTTTTTCGTCTTCTTCTTCTTCACCAAACCCATGACCCCCGAAACGACAATGTAGAGAAAAGGCAGAGCAATCAGTAGGGTCTGCACGAGCTCCATGGCGGTTGTTAAGACTCCAGATAGGTGCCGTCCCATGTAATCTTTCCTTGTGTAGTTGAATAGTGTGATTGCATTGATGACTGCAAGGTTTGTGAAGAGAAGTGCGTCGATGATATTGTGCTTTCTGTTCTTGTACGGGCTGACATATTGCATGGAGAGCCAGGACTAGGATGAGCTCCAACTGAACGACCGAATAGAACTGAAACACTGTTCCAGAGTAGGCGTATGCTGCCAGAATGATGGCTCGATAGAGGAAATAGAGTCCGGCAAAGAATCGATAGTTGTCCTTGAAAGAGCTCTGGAATGCGTCGAGAATCTGGATGGGCATCAGTCTCCAGAGAAATGCCGAGAATTTTGACTCACTCAGTTTACACAGTCCGAGACACTTGAAAACAAGAGGGTACAGCAGTAAAAGAAGTGGTGGAATGATAATCATGAACACCAGAGCCAGTATAGCAACAACGGCATACTTTATGTGAGCACCCTCAAAATAGTTCATGTAGCCAACCAAATACACGGCCTTTGCTTCACAGTGGAGAGATGTTGAGTACAAGCAGAAGAAGTTGAGGACGTGGAAGACGAGTTGGGCAGACTGGGAGTAGCAGAGGACAAAGAAGGCCGAGAGACCGTGTATGAGGACACTCTGTGGAGTGTGGAGCTTGGCAAACAACATCCTAAATGGTGCACACCTGCACCTTGCCAGCAGGAGAGTTACTAGTACCAGAGCAAGTGCCACGCCGACAGTTGTGGCCTTCATCGTCATGACATCCAACACAGTGGCCCCTTTCCAAAGACAGAATGACAGTTGCTCCACTGTGAAAAAGTTCAAGTTGAAGGGGCGGTAAATGAACTTCAGTATGAACTGGATTGCTCAATGAACTTGTTCGGTTTAATAGCCACATTGGCATCGACTGAGAGAAAATCAAGAACTTGAGCGTAGAGGACAAAGCAGTTTATGTTTCCATCAGTGAAGCTTATGTTCAAGTACAGGATTGTAAGAAAGAGGAATAGAAGAGGAACGACCTCTGATATGAGGTAAAAGAGCCATCCCAAGTAACACAGCCTCTCCTCCCCACAATCATACTTCTCAGAGTGATAGTACACAGAGTGGTTGGGGACACATTTCCCACATAGCCTACCAGTTCTTTTGGGGCCACAGATGTAATTGTCCAAAAGACTTGCATTAAGTGGCAAAGGGTGAAAGTCCTCACTGGGCACTCATACGATGGTACGAGCAGAAACCTGGAGGGCAGAATGTGGTACAGAGCATAGTTTGACTTGTGTCAGAACAGAAGCCAATCCAGTAGCCGTGTCTTATTTTGACACCAGGATCACATCCGACCAGGCCAAGAGAGTCTGCCACTCCACACACACACTGAGAGCCATTGAAGACATAGCCAGGTTGACAGCTGGTGAAGGACACATTGAATGACAGAACCACATCTGATCCAGAGGCTTGCAAATTCAGGTCTGCCGTGTCATTGGGAGCTCCCATCATCACGATAGTATTGTTTGACACTTGGTAAAATGCTGGATCTATGCTCACATTTGGGTGTGAGTTTTTTAGCGAAGCTTCGTACACAAGTCCAGTGAGATTGGCTCCAGATTCATCTTGTACTGTAAGTGGAAGGCGATACTCTACCCCTGGTATCATCTCCACCAAGGAGGTGTGCAGTTTAAAATTTGTTGGCCGAGTGGAAATTGACAATGAGTCATTAAAGGTGAACTCAGCAAGTTGTTGCAAAATGCTTACAGGGGTAGCATTCTTAGATGCATCGCACAGAAATGCACAAGCCTTGAATGTTGTAGCAAATATAGAACTTCCACCATCTCCCGCAGAATTACCTTCAAAGAAGAAAGTAGCATTTGATTTGGTGCACCCCTGTGACCTTGACTGGAGAAAGCAGTTGTGGTATTCTGGAAGGAAGGCTACGATAAATTCTACATATATTGCTCCTCCAATTAGGGTTGCTTTGTTACCAATAAAATTGAATGTGGAGTTGTTGCTTATCTGAAGTACGGAAGTACCGTACATGGCAATAGCTCCACCTTTGTTGGCAGTATTGTTGAGAAAGTTGACAGTTGATCCTTCACCAAACTCTAACACTCCATTAGAGATGTGAACTGCAGTTCCTTCGTTACAACTAAACAGCAAATTACCTTCAAACAGAACACTGAACTCACTAACAGCCATAGTACCATACCCAAGGGAAGTTACTCTGACATTGACACCTTCGACAAATGAAGGTTCGGACTCAAGTGCTGAATTATTCTCGAAAGTGCAGTTGATAAACTTTGGGGTAGGTAGGCAGCCTTTGTTTGAATAGTCCCAAAGACCAGGATTGATAAATACAGCAGCTCCCATAGGAGATGTGTTGTTTGTCCAGGTGCTGCTGCTGAACTCCAGAGTACCATACTCACAGGGACAGTTGCTGTCCATGGTGGCAACAATGATCAGTCCACCTCCTCTATTTCTTTCAAATTTGCAGGATCTGCATTTAAATGCGTTGTTTCTTGGGACTCTTCCAGGTATGAATGTCTTATTGTAGAACATTAGACCGACTACAAGTCCTCCACAGTATATGTCCTGAGCACAGTGGTTTTCAATGAACCTCGCGTCGGAAACGGATATGATTGTGTTTTCTACAGAATTAAGGAATTCAGCCAGCATTCCATTACCCCATAATGAAGCTGAGTTGTTTTGAAATGTACAGTGATTAATGAAAAAGCTGTTGTTTGTTGCATCAAATCCAATAGTGATGTATAACCCTCCTCCTTTTCCAAATCTTGGGACAGACAAAGGATTAGAAGGTGATATAGAGGTTGGAGTCCCAGGGCGAGCATATGCTACATTGTTTATAAATCTGCAGTTAGTGATATTATATGTGCTGTCAGTGATTCCTTTACGATCGTAGCAATTGCTAACAAAACCTGGGCTGCAAAATGTGAATTCTATATAGAGCCCGCCACCTCCTCCTTGAGACGATTCATTTACCAAATTGTCACTGAACATACAGTTAACAATACTAACACTTCCGTTTGTATCATACATCGAGAGACCCCTGCCATTAGATGATGTAATATTGACATCATGAATGTCCACGCCTGTGCAATTCAAGATGTACACGGCGACACTTACAAGATCAGTCTTGTTGTTAGTGAGGTCCACACTGGTGCTGTTTCTCTCAGTCCCACACTTCTGGATGGAGAGGGAAGTAATGGTGAGGTTATGAAGGCCAACAAAGGCAAGTCCGGCATTAGTCTCAGAGCAGAAGATGGTCGATAGGTTCCCAGAAACCATGAGCCAGTGGAAGTGTTTGAACTCCACTGGTTGAGCCAAGTTTAGTCTCTCACTCAGCACAGTCACTTCGGCTCTGGTTGAGTTGAGATTCTTCGCGACATAAGGGAGTGACTGACATGGCCTCAGGGTGGAGTTAGAGTTCAGACATTCTGTGCTGTCGGTTCCATTGGCACTATCAATGTACACATGGATCACCTCTGACTCCTGGGCCTCCAGACATAGACGGCCACACAGTAGCACTATCACAGTTGCCTCTAGGAGACGACCAACCATTTCTTGCTGCTCTGTGTGTATGCTGAATGGTTTTGGCAAACACAGTTTCATTTTGGAACTTACAACAGCTCCCAACTGTAACAAAGCAGCCGAAGAATGATGGAATTAGGTTGAAATGTACAAAAAAGCTCAGATATACAAAAGGAAACTCAGTGCAACATGTGCCTTGACTTGTATGTGGTCTTTAAGTACTAGTCACTGGCTCATGACCCTGTCTGTTCATTGACATTCTATGACCGAATCAATTACCAAATTACCAAGATCATCGTAGACTTGTCTTGTACTTCACCAAGTCTATAAACGACTTCACAGCTTACACAAAACTATAAGTCCCAATCACTACTTTTTGTTTCCTTATACCATCCTTCAATATCCTTATGAAATTTCTATTCTATGCGCTGGCAAAGCAAACAAGTCAACTACAACTTTTTTTTACCCTCGATGCGCATGTGCAGCAAGGCTGTGTGTGTCTGTCTGTCTGTTTGTCACCAGCTGTTCTGGCACTAGGCGGCCCATGAGCAATAGCAACGACTTCAGTGCTACGAGAGCCTAAAAATTATAATGGTGTTTTCCTGAAACGACTGTGTTCAGGAAATATGGCGTAAAACCAAGCGAAAAGGCCCCTGTAGCACCAAAAAAATCACAATTTTTCTGGTTAATTTAATTTGGGAACTTAATTGCAGAAAACATTTCTTCTTGGGGGTTAAAATAATTCCCCAATTGAAACCTTGTATGCAGAGATGCTCATAACTTAACTCTAAGTAAAGGACACATGCAAAAAATAAGAAATGACACACATACATAACAAGCAGTGAAAGAAGAAATGGTTGGTCGTCTCTTAGAGGCAACTGTGATAGTGCTACTGTGTGGCCGTCTATGTCTGGAGGGCCAGGAGTCAGAGGTGATCCGTGTGTACATTGATGGTGCCAATGGAACCGACAGCACAGAATGTCTGAACTCTAACTCCACACTGAGGCCATGTCAGTCACTCTCTTATGTCGCGAAGAATCTCAACTCAACCAGACCCGAAGTGACTGTGCTGCGTGTGAGACTAAACTTGATCAATAGTAC